TTTTAGATATATATATATATATATATATATATATATATATATGACAAAAGAGCAGTTATTCGTAATTAGACAACAGAGTTTCAAATAAAGTAACTGACACGTGGTGGGTAAGATTGGTAAAATAAATCTTCTTTCTCGTATGAATTCGTGCAGCCTATTTCATTCGCGCACATACTGAAGGTAAGATTACAATGGGTCCCCTATTTGGTAAAGTTTTCCATTTTGCAAGTGTACAATCCCTCGACCCATGTTAGCTACAATCGGCTAGCAAAGCCTAACGACTAGTGCCATGGTGTCTGAAGCCAATTTAGGTAACTCTCAGCACATATTGAAAGTTTTATTGACTACATTCACCACTCGATCAATAGAAGCCGACCTAAGTGACCCGTAAATTATAGTGCAGCATCACGAGACTGGTGAAACATCAAGGCGCCTTAATTCAAGTTGAGAGCGTCTTTAGTCATTAAAACTTGTCTCGGTGTCGATATGGGATATATGAGCTCCTGATACGATCATTAAAATATCTTGAATTTTTTCATGTCAAACTCCAGTAGGTCAGGGGGTCGTAACGACAGTGCGTCAAATTCACGAGTTGCTGACTGCTCGTATGTTTATCAGTACACTTACTGTGTAACTTGATTGCACTCACCACAATTCACTACCCCAGAAATTCGAAACATAAGTTTCAGAGTTCCTTTCATATTCCTGTCTGTTGAAATGAAATTATGAAATTGAAAGAATTCTCACTCGGGTGATGGGTGCAGCAGAAACCAAAATAGTGGTTGAGAAGCTACTATGTGTGACGTTGAACCAGGCTCTGTACACAATTCGAAGTAAAAGATTCCATCCTTCCGTGGAATTGCTTGGAAAATCTCGGCCCCGTTTATCTTAGCATCTGGGGCAGTGAATCCTGTGTAGAACCAGTCCGCGTGTTGCATCCGTACGTTAGCACAGGCGCCTACGTGCACACGTAACAGGGACCAATGTGGAATAGGATGAATGGACAGCAACAAGGACTTATTGGACAAAACGCGGATGTGGCATTAGGTTTCGTTGAGCCTTCGCAAATGCGTTGACACATTTACTTGTGCTGACTTGGGACTTAGACGATTTGCTTTAACGACCTATTACTTTCAACACTGGTTGTTTAGTTAAACGGATTCCCGCAGATTTTGAACAGGTATGACGTCGCCCGATGCTGTAATAACACAACTAGCTACTAGTTCCAGTCATTATTTGGAGAGGCACGCATTTAAAGCAGGAATAGATGCAATATCCTATGATATCCACTACTTTTCCCGGGCACTCGCTGCCAATTGATGGCTCAGATGCACGTCCAGAGAAAATCAGGGCGATTGGATCCATCCCAGTTCCGAAGGGTCCAAAGACCGGAACACGATGTTCGCACAAAAGATGTTTCACAGGAGTCCAAACTGCAAACTTTGGATGGATGTATTCTATGATGTAGTGTTAAGCTAAAAAGGGTTTTTTAAAAAAAGAGTGCCGCAACATTTGAATCCTATGCCCTTGTTTACAGCCATCTCTCGTCGTTCAGCGCTACCGCAGTCAGATTGGCCCGGAAAATTATAGGCGCCGTCTGATGCAGGCGGATTAGAACTTTGCACAGACTGGAAAGGAGCTGCTAGCTCTAGAACGATTGCACAATTATTTTTCGGAAGAAAAGTCGTGCTTTTTCCAAGCCTTAAATCACCAGTCAAAGCATTTATCCGTGTATTGAGTTTAGTTCCAAAACGTTCACTGAGTATGCTTATTTGACTTCAGACGTTATCCTATCATCCAAGAATGCAAACTTTCATAGCTGACGCACTACCCACGACATATGTTTCTGTCTATGGAAAATCAGGTCCACAATTCTAACTCATTTGGACGACTGAAATCATACCAATAAAAGAATTCAAAGTAGGAAAAATCAAGGAAACTGTCAAGTGTGATCTCATAGTGAGAGTTAACCCAATTACTCACAAATAGCTGACATCAAAATAAAACAGAAATGCCAGAGCAGTTTATATTTTTCTACGATAGTTATGAGTGTATCGCTTGTTTGACTTTGTGATAAGGAAGCTAATGGTAGTTCACGCAAAGCCTGAACTGAATTGAATGGTAGACAATGGCAAATCAGTTTGCGTCAACATCGCGACAGTTCGAAAGTTCAAAAGCTCAATGAGTCAGTTACATCAGATGAAGGTCGAACGAGTTTCATACCTGCAGATCATTAAATGCATTTCTTTAAGAGCTTGGTGGTTAGCTAAGAGAGTGTTTGCCTGTTCTGTGTCTACAAAGTCCCACACTGGTGGATCGACCGAAAACAGTCCTAAGTTCGGGGGAAGTGAACGGATTGCTTGATCGTCTAACTGAAACCGACTCGAAAACACCACATTATGTCGTGACTGAAAGCGGAGCACCTAAACCGTGGTCTTCGGGTTCCATACCGCTTGACTCATTTTTTCACTTAACTGTTCAGCTGTATGGACTTTGATTTTACCTCCACTATTACCGAAATGTTTGAAAAACAGATGATTTTCGCCGCTTGCACTTTTAGTTCACAGCCAACTCCCGGCGTTTTTAACGAAGCAAGGAGGACTAAATTCCGGATTCATGATTGCTCACGTTACTGCGGCCGCATTAGGTGAGTGTCTTAGAGCTGTCCGACCAAACTTCGTGTTCATTTGCAGTCATGTGCACACAGTGATTCAAACTTGGCTTTTGTATTTTGCCTGGTGCGAAACAGGGTGAGAGGAACTCCAAAGCGTTTCTGTCCGATCCAAATCAATCACTTGATAGGTTACCATAAGTGTCCAATAAAGCAAACGATTTTGCTAATTTTCGTGAATAACGAGTATCCATTTGAGACCACATGTGAACCACCGATGAGAAACCCATCGCCAAGTGTGAAAAAGAAGAGCTCTGGAATACTCTAATGAGGTTGCTACAAGCGACTCAAGAGACCTCATACGATGATATGGTTACCAAGCGCTAAGTCATTTGCGCATCACATACAATCCAGAACTGGTCAAAAGATTAACTGGTACTAACTGGTTGTGGAAACATGACGGGTTTAAGTGTGGTTGTACATGCCAGGCAGATGTTCAAACCAGGCAAACAAGCTGGCACATCCCGTCATAAAACGAACCCAGCTTCTTTCCTGCTGTTGCCGAACACATTATTTGAGAAATGCTCTGGTCCATGAAGCCATGTATCGTCGTTAACCTATACTGGCTTGTCTACACAAAACCCTGCCAGTTGTCACTTTTCGCCCAAAACTTCTATCGTTTTACTAAAGAGGTGACCTAACGATCGAGAGATTTTCTGTCTAAATAGTTTTGTCTGAGTGGTGACTTGTTTTTTATATTTTCGAATCCCAGTCAAAAGGAGTGGATTCTACATTTAGTCTGATTACACTAAAGAGCCAACCATGTACAGCTAGAAGTTTCGACTAACATTTCAAAATCCTTTTTCCCGGACAAACTGCTCCATCAAGACTACAAGATGCCGGCTTAGTTTTTTCCCAAAATAAATTTACTATTATTAAACAAATCATTGAGCTGAGCACTATATAAGTGATGCTGGTTCACTGCATAGTAAATTTTGAAATAACCACAGAGTTTCAACTGTTGTTCGCCATTTATTAATGTGCATCGCGCACCATTCACACCACAACGACCGTTAACCCAAGCAAGCACACCGTGTCTGAGGTAATCTCTTAGAGCTCATCAGTCTACTTTCATACAAAACCTAGCGATATCACATCTTCCGTCATCTCTTTAATCAAATTCGTTGCTATTTTGCCAGTATTTCTCCAGCGGATACGCGGACATCCAAACACACGACCTATCTATCACTCGAACAGCATAGAGCTTGAAGTGAGGAAGTGACTTGTTCAAAGTATTAAACAGATATTACAGCCACAGTGACATCACAAAAAGCGATAGTTTTTCGCGACAGTTCGATCGTGAACAAAGGCGAAGATGCCTTGAAACATCAACAAGAGTATCAGGGCGTTGATCAGTCTGTACATAGAAGAACTTTCATATTTGTTATGGAATTTAGGGTGAAAACAATTACACGAAAACAAACGGCTGTAAAAAGAAACAAGAATGTGGAGGGAAACTCGGTGCCAGCAATGTATCAACGTGCCGCAGAACTGGTGAAAAAACATACCAGCAAATACTGGTATGGTTTGCTTTCAATGAAAAAGGGAAAACACTTCAGTTCTGATAGGTTTTAATAAAGCATCTTCCAAACCATAGGTTGAAGACTTGTGTATGACTAGCCAAACGACCCTCTTCAAGGGACTGCTGTGGTTTTGTCTTCCTCTAGCGAGCGTCTACTTCTTTGGAACGAACTAGCTTTCTGGTTCCAACATTGTCCGTTTCCTAAATAGTAACTTTATGTCTGCATTGTGTACCTATATTTTAAATGGATTGTAATGAAGTTAAGAGAGATTGACTGCAAGGTTAAGTACGAAGGTTGTTTTTAGTGGGCTTATGTGGATGGAACAGTGTCTACCGCGTGTATCTTGTTTCTGTAATGAACAATCTCCAACCAAGTCCAAGGCGACTCAAGTGGTTGGAGCTCGAATTTATTGACCAGAACGTCTGTGGTTAGGACTCAACCTCTGCCTCTCGACTTCCCCTCTCTAGGCTTGGGCAACCTGGCAGTATCCCAGCTTTCATGCTTCCTTCAAGTAGCATGGCAGGATGTTACAGCAGAATGATTAATATCTTTATTTAACCAAGTTCAAATCGGAGAGTCAAAGGTAGTTTGTGAGCTTGCACTGACCATAATAATAATGTACAGGAACAATAAGACTAGGCGGCCTGACTATCCTTGTGAAAGGACTACATGTCAAGTTTCTCCAACAGGTTTGTTCGAGGATGCGGTCAGCTATCGCTGCAAACGCTAATCGGACCAGAAACTATCTAATGCACTGTCTAGTTGATAGACTGCCTTAAAGAAAAGAATCCGCTGGAAAAATTCTTCTATGGGATTATATTTTAATTACTCTTTAACTCTGTAACTGAACAGTAACCAACTGGTCAGCATAATTCGCATTAACTATGAAACCAAACTATTCCAATTTAAGCGAGAACCGTCACTAGCCTGAATGGATACAAGTGATGTACGTATTTTCGAAATGTGCAAATCATCAAGACAAGGGGTGAAGGGATGAAGCCGCTTACGGGGGCTAGACCCACCCGCTCGACTGTCCTGTAAAATGCTGTCAAATAAAAGCGATTTAAATTCGGCTAGTAAGCTGGGTACTTCGGGGAAGAGAAAAAATATCGGACCATGAGAAAAATATGAAACGGAGTCACTCCCCCAATTCGTCCAAAAGCAATTCTTAGGAAAACAATACGCACATGAATATGATGCAACTGGTTGGGAGTGGAAAGACAGGCCAATTTTCTTGCCAATCCGCAAGCTGAGTGATGCGCATGGCCCCATTGAGAGTAAATGTGGGAGAAACTTTCGTATAATATGCACAATGAACCAATTCAAATCACCTGATTTGGACCAGACATGCCATCACTTGTGACGAGGAAAATTTTCGCTCAAGGATAGTTTCAATGTCTGACCTGAACTACTTAAATGGTTGAAAAACAGGAACATTATTCACTGTGTTTTCAGTCTATCACCTAACCGGATAATGTCCACATGCATGTTCCATACCAATGTGAGTGCAGTGTAGAAATAGAAAAGGCCTTGTATGGTCAGTGTATACATCACACCCTAACATTACGTAAAAACCACTGAGGATCGTAAGTGGACGATTTTATGCTTTTACTGCGTTTTACGACTTGATAAAAACTAGTATGCTTGAATGCACCAGACTGAAACTGAAACTTTCAGCTGGAGCCTGAGTGTGTATATAGAATCATTGGAGTGGTCATCTCCAGTGAAGTATTCATTTAAATTATATATACTGAAAACCGTTAAGTATTCTCTATATCGTCATTTCGTTGCCTTAGTAAACCCTTAGTCAATTCGGTTTCTGCAGTGGTCGCACCCAAATAGAGACTACTTTTTGTTCGCACCTTCACTATCATCGTAGAGTAGGCTGTCCAGTTTTACTACACTACAATAAGGGTAAATTTACCATCAATTCATCGGCTGAGGTGTTCCTTTGCCAAATTTAGATAGGCTTAGTTGACCCAAAGGCTGTACATTCAGGTTACGTGAAGTGTCGGTTGATAACACTACTAATACTCTGAAGATAGCTATTTCGACCCATCCTGCCAGTCGTTGCTCTAGAAAGTTATCGATACATCACAATAAAAAAGAAACTACACACTTGTACATTTGAAGGCTTTTTCTATACCAGAGTTCATAGTGTGATACCAGATTTGATTCGTGAAAAAAATGAAGAAAAACAAGTGTACACTGTCAACACAATTTCACAGTCCGTGAGTAACAGGTAACTTTTTGGATTAGTACTCTCAAACTTTTGGCAACTACTCCCAGTTGCACACGAACTTGGTTTCGAATGCAGACTCCATTGAATCTAGTTGAATATGTCGTTTGTGATAGTCCGCTTGAACTGGATATACTGCACCAGGCCACTTCATGTCTCATTTTGTATGATAGTCCTAAGTAATGTGTTACGTGTGGACAAGAACGGATTGCGAAATCTCGACTATCGTTCAAACTAATACATGAGGTAGCCTGGGGCAGCACATCCAGTTGCATTGGATCATTGTAAACAAGCTATTCAGCTGGATTCAGTTGAGTCTCTCGTCAAAAGCAAATTTCTGTGGAAATGAGAGTATTTATCGAAATCTGTCCAATGTGGGTTCCAGTAGGACATGAGGTTGACGGAACCTGGGAGTCTGGTCCCACCTGACTAGCCCCAACACGGACGAAGCCGGTCATGGGCTGTCGAAGAGTTTCCAGTAATCTTATGATTAGTTCATTACGTATACTCTCGGGCGTATTTACTTGGCAACTTAGTTGCCAACAAATTTCAACCGATTCTAAGAAGCAAAACACGAGTACTCACCACCCTAGCCTCTAAAGTAGAATGTCACGCCGGATTGCTGTTTCTTTCTGAAACCAGAAGGGAAACAGTGAACCTGGTTGAGCGATGGTAAAGTTGATTTAGCTTTGGCTGCGAAAAAACGTAGAAACTCTATTGTCATAGTCAGAAAACGCTTTTAACAAGAACGATCCAAAGCGGTCACCATAGTTACATGTTCTTTGTAGCGGGATATTTTTAGTGTTTTTATGCTCATTTGATAGTAATATTTATGCATCTCAACTCGTTTTGGCTCTAGACAATAGAACCGAAAAGTTCAACGTGGAACGACAGGCGATTCGATTATCAATAATTCATGAGTTTCTCAACCAATAGTCACAACGATCTTATTCTTTATAGTGTCGGAAAACAAAGTACTGTGTCATCCATCCAGTGTGGATAGCATATCTACGAGTGCGGCTCAGGAAGATCATGTAAGTATGGGAACCTTTGCAGCGAGGAAATGTTTACAGGTTGTGAAAAATGTGGAAACCGGTAAGTAGTACTTTAACAGGTTGCTGAAATGCTCTGAAGACGACTATTACTTAAGTTAGATCTATCTCTATGATCACACAAAACATAGCTTTGGTCACAAATGCAATTTTTTCTCCACCATATTTTGTCATAATTTCAACGATTTGTAATCGCATCCCCTGCTTAGATAGACGATAGACAGAAAAAGTATTTGCTTTCTGAGAGTTGAATCTTTGAAGACAAAACAACAAATCCTCAATGGATTAGAGGCTGCTGGCTCCAAATTCAGTGCAAATCATATTTTGATCAGATAAAAGTGGAGCAACACTGGAACTCTCGAGGAAAATCTTCTTGACATCTTGCAGTTTCTCAGTATGTTTGGAGCACTACAATCGGTTGAACTAAGATTTTTTGGAAAGAGCACCTTCCTAGAAAGACGGAGATAGTAGAGCGCTACAAAGCTTTACACATGTGATCACCTGACAAGAGTGCCATCTGTGATGGTGAGCGTTTTTATTTGTGAAGTGCAAACAGCAACTGCAACATAGTAAAGAACGATCCGAGGTAGAAAAATTGTTACAAATGCGGGAGAAATTGAAGGGCTTCTTTGAAAATTCTGCTTTATGTGGGTCGCCACTTTAATTACGAACAACGTATATTCTACTGCAGCTACATTTGCGACTAAAACGTTCCCGATTCACTCGATATTCATGTTCTCTCAGTTCAGAGCAAAGTTACACATGAATGTCCTTCGTTTTCATGCGGCCGTATATTTGCGAGTTTCATGTATATTGCGAACTTGCAATTGTTGTAACCAAACAAAGATAACAGAAACTGTTACAATCATATCCCCCCACCTAGAGGTGCTTGTGAAATTCGAGGGAGCACTAGCACTGAACTACAGTGCATTGGGACTTCAGTGAACGATAGAAGAAGCAGAAAATTGCAGTTTAGTATAAGAAACATTTTTCCCCTACTGACGAATCTTATGAAGTTACTTTCGGAATCCGTACATTACCAGAACCAAGGATGAAACAGTCCGTTTTAGTCTACGTCTTTCTCAGCAATACTGTATCACCCGACCTATCTGTACCTTCCAAGAATCAGCATCTAAATGCTGTGACAAACTAAGCTAATGACATTTAAGAACGGTTCATAGTTGGGAAACCGAATCGATTTCATTCGTTCGGTTGATCGCCACTGTTTCGGTTAACAGCATAAAATCAAGGCTCGATTGCTTCTGGCTCCAGTTATTTTCATCCCATTACATCCAAACACTTTAATCTCACTTCTCACGCAGAGAATTCACGAGAGCTAATCATCACTCGAACCAGTGACTGTCCGCACAATTTACAGCCTTCCCGTATTCACATCCATAATGATCTGTTTCCATTTTACGCGTGAAAGGGATGCATTGAGGTCTTGGACTTTCTTACAGCATAAAACCGATTCATGATTTCATTTTGAGTTTTGCATTCCACTGATCCGAATATCGAGTCCTCTGTTCTAGGACCTGTGTTCCATCAGAATGCTTTTTGGATGAGAATTTCCAGATTCCACTTCTTCCACCTGTGCGCGCAAAAACTTCATTTTTGCGAACTCAGCGTAAATATGAATGGAACAGGCTTACTACGTGGACCAAATAGATGGGGTGGACAGTGGTGGTTGTCAAACACTGGCGCACTGCCGAGGCCAAAATTGCACTGAAATTAGCTGATTAACTGCACCTAATGGGATCACGTTAAAAACATCGGGAGGTGCCAAATTATACGAAAGTAAATAGTGCGGGTTCACTTTTCGCCTAACCATTCAAATAACCATGACTCAGACAAACAACATAACCGATATTTTGCCCCAATTCTCATGGACTATCTCAGGCAATCGCGTGCTAGCGAACCGATGTCGTGTGGTGGCCGGAGGATGGCTAATAAAGTAAACTCTGGTCATATTGGCATTGATTAAAACGGCAGTTTCGCTTACTAATTCTTGCACGTTTCCTCAAAACATTTTCTAACGCGACTGCGGCAATGCCACCTTCGTGTAGCATCCCACTTTTGAACGATCGTTTCTGGACTTCAACCATGTGCTTTTGTCGGCAAGAGAAGCGAGATTACAAGATATCTGCCATATCGGAACTTTGTTGCATTTGCACATTGTTCGGTCATTCGACGAAACCGATGAGCGAGTTGGTGACCTAACGTAGCATGCGTACGATATCGGCCATCAGACAATGCACTGAACTTGGGTGTGTGGCAAGACAGACGCAAGCAAACATACAGGCCACCGCATATCAGGCGTTCGCCTTGCTTTCAAAAAGCTATGGATTATATCTCACTAGATGTGACCACCTTACTTTAACCGATTAGCAGTGGCATGTACAGCAAACAAAAGAGCTGAGTTATGTGACTCAAGCTACAGAAGGAAGCTTAGGAAGATCCTTCCGACTCTGTGGAGTTACGTAAACCTAAATAGTTCGAGAACCTTGGGTACTTAATCGACCTGAAGCGTACCAAAATCCATCAGGCCAATGGCACCAATGAACCTCATCACTATCTGACTGACAGGAGACAAGGTGGTACTCTCGACTTAATGATTCAATATGAAGCTTGTTAGCAGTTGAGTGGAAATTGATTCAATGAGATTTTTCGGCTGCCTCAAAGCAGGAGAAGAAGGGGGACAGTCACACCACATATGAAGAACGGACAAAAGGTGACCCCGGTTCCAAAGATAGTGTGCATCACCGAACCCTTGCACAGACCGCATTGGCTAATGTTGAAAAGAGGTATCTTGGCACTGGGGGAAGAAACGGATAGACTGTTGGTGAAGTGAGCGTATTTGGGAGATTTCGTCATTTATGTGGCGAAGTTAATTTAGGCTGAAAAATCCGGGAAGCACTGTGCAGCTGTTATCGGGAGTTATGAGCAGTGTGCACCATAAGAAACCCAAGGGAGTCTCAAACCCACAATCTCTTGGTTAATAGTTTGAAGATTTAACCGTTCGGCCACGATTGGCTGGCCACCAGTAGGATTAACTTGCACCTGGGCAGGATATAACACCGCTCATTTTTTAATCAAGAGATCCACAACACGTTGTCACAATTTTTGACTGGATCCTCGGGTGATTAATCCCAAAAAAGATCAAACAGCGGTGCAATGCTTCTTAGCTTTTCAGCAGAGGGAAGCTTCATTTACAGGAAATTTCCATGAAAACTGAATAGTTGCCAACACCCAGTAAGTATGACTTACCGCTTGTGTGGAGGTAGAGTTCTAACTGGGATTCAGCTGTGTCTCCCGTTAAAACCAAATGCACATTCAAATATTGTGTCACTAGGATTAACTTGCACCTGGGCAGGATATAACACCGCTCATTTTTTAATCAAGAGATCCACAACACGTTGTCACAATTTTTGACTGGATCCTCGGGTGATTAATCCCAAAAAAGATCAAACAGCGGTGCAATGCTTCTTAGCTTTTCAGCAGAGGGAAGCTTCATTTACAGGAAATTTCCATGAAAACTGAATAGTTGCCAACACCCAGTAAGTATGACTTACCGCTTGTGTGGAGGTAGAGTTCTAACTGGGATTCAGCTGTGTCTCCCGTTAAAACCAAATGCACATTCAAATGATTGTGTCACAAAGTGTAGTCTCATCAAATCAAATTTCAGATAGCACATTTCAAGGTATCTGCGGCTAAATTGATCTATTTTCGCCTACCTGTTATTTTATGGCGCTGAAGTCACTCTGAAATTCTTCAATAGTAGATCATCTTGGACCAAATAAGGCAAACGAAAATAGAGTTATCAGGGGGGATCTTGGTTTTCGTTTCTATCAGGTGTGGTTCGGTCCATATCGTAGCCTTTTTCAAATCTTCATACATCCTACCTCAACCCTCTAATTCTACCATGAGTTAACAGTGGTTTCATCCTATCTATATTATATCAAAGCCTTCTTATTATGTGGGTCTGTTTATCTCTGTGTCGGACAGTCTGATAGTCAGAAAGCTTGGAGAAAAATGAATGATCCCAAAATTTATGCAGTACGGATAGGAGGGAACCATTTTGTAATATCATCTGCCACCAGAGAAAAAACGCTAAGAAGCAGCCGATGGGTGTTCTGATGTCGGGAGCAAACGTACATTTCTACACCCGAAGAACCTATACTCAACGGAACCATCATCTCCTTTTTGCGGTCGTTGAAACTGAACAAATGGCGACTGGAATTCTCCTTGAGCACTATAAAGCGGTCATGCACTAGCCTTCATCATGTTGAACGAGTTAGTTACGAAATAGGCTACGGGACAGGCCTGATTTTTGGGCTCGAGTGGCCCAAGTGACCATTGACTCATTGACGTTTTGACCCACTGGACTACATAGCTACTTCAGCCAAGTACTCGTCATCCATAGCACAAAACTTGATCTGGACGCATTTGAACTTTCGACAACTTGGCTGGACACCGATGAGCGAATCGAAGTAGCTTTTTCCGTCCGATTACAGTCAAGACGCAGAAAGGATGAACTTCAGTTGGCGACATTCTAATTCTGTTGTGAATATACTTCTTTCTGCATTTCAGTACTTGCCATCGAGCTATTGGTCGCATCCCAAGCGCTGGATTTACTACGTCCCTTGATGTCAACGGAACCCCTGGAAATGGTGCACCGCTTAGTTCGAAGCGTCAGTCCGTGAGTTAGCATGATATTCGAGTTATTATTCGGTAAAGGAGCCAAAGACAAAGGCATCGGCTGGAATATGAACGGTGCTGTTTGAGCAAAGTATTATACTGTATCATTCCCGATGATCCAGGGCTGGACCTACAATACATCAAGATTCTGTGAGGGTCCGTATGCTTTCTTCGATAATATCCACCCGCTTACGGTTGCAGGACCCGCATTCTCTTCAAGTGACTTGTAAGTAACTACCGACTACCAGCAAACACCGTGCATACACGATGCTCACCTAACGAAATCCTAGGATTGTCCCAAAATAGAATATCTGGCTACGTTCAACGGCTGAACAGCGAGGAAAAATCGATCATACTTTGACAATCGCTGTCGAAATCAACCGTATGTCTGAGAAGGAACTTGTTGTTGTGGGACCATCAAGCATCGCATATCGTTTAAAAGATTAAGTGTAGCATAATACACCAGAATAAAATTGATTGAGCTGGGCGGCAAAATACTAACTAAATGAGATTATGAACAGAACAACGTGCAAAATATTACTGCTTTCAACTTAAGCTAAAAATGCCTCCAAGAAAATCGTCAAGGGGCTATCCGGTTCAGAAGTCTAAGAGGTACAAATACTTACCCCAAATGCCTTAATTCGTGATCACTGCCCGAAAGTAGCATTTACAAACAGCACTTAAGAAGCCGCGCCATAGCTTTAAGTGCCGCTCAAGGAAATATATTTTCATAACAATGATAAAAATTTTCTGACCTTTTCTCTGACACTGACGTTAGAATGAAACTGGCCGAAGTTTGGGAAATGATAAGCAGATCAAAAATTGAATTTCAGTGCAGACACTGGCTCTAAATCGACACTAGTTGTTCATAGCATTTTGTGGCTAATGTACAAGCAGCTTCTGGAACATATCCAATAAGAGTTCCGCAGGGAGAGATTTTTACAATTTAAAGTCAACATTTACAAGTCCTAAATGAAAGGCCACGGCGGTGACTGGGGTTTCAATTACTGAATGCTCACAACCTGTTCAACAACAGTACGGTTCAAACTATCGATTGCAGTGACTAGTAGAATCCGGCTATTTAACGCGGACTACGAATTCTCAAGGAATCTATGAAGTCTTTGAAACTGTGTTGGAGTGCTAGATATTGAGGTTCCACTAATTACTGTGTTATGTGATCTTTTCAATTCTTCGACCCCGTCAGAATACGCAGAACTAACGCCACTCGAGAAGGTGACTAAATATCCAAGTGATTTCCTAAGCCAAAAACTTCAAATTAAGCAGAGGTAATTATCGCGCTGCGGTTACTCATGCTGCACGGATTGGATTTTGTCATCCAAAATAACCCACTGGAATAATGTACATTCAGAGCATGGTATAAGAAGACACTTTCATGAGACCATGGAAGTGAGACCAAACAATCACGCTGGTCGAACTGGTTGAAGAGTACTTACGCGACATAGGAACATTCGCTAGGGGGATGGGCCTTGACAGAGTGAATACGGTAGCATGTGCTCACAAGAGCAAGCAAGGATACGCAGATTGTGACCTCTATGACAATACTGACAGGTGGAGATGTGTCATTTTGTTGACGACTGAAAAGATCGAATGTCAGCAGAACGCAAAATGATGGTCGATAGGTTCATCCAGTCGGTTCAAAGTGTACTTTTAGCCGCATCTCTTGTCTCATTCCAGTTCTCCCTATCTGGATACTGAACAGAGTCTGATGATGGCTGTTGGATTTCGCAATTGGCTGGGAGCTATGCAGCTACGATCCGGCTTGTTAACATTTGATTGATAGGTCTGGACTAATTCCGTTTGCTCTTGAATCAGCCAGAGTCTGAATTTTCACATATACTTAAGCTAACCCTTAAGCACGCGTCTTTCGTTCTATGGCATCAGGTGAACTCCAAGAGGCGTTCAAGCAGAACTACATAAAGTGTGGGGGAATGACAAGTGTGGCGTAAAGAGCCTCATGTCGGGATGTGTCTGTACACGTTACATTGGAGGTGCATGCATCAGGGCTGGAAGTCTCCCGAGACATTGGGAAAATTTGGATTTGCACACTTTGAAGTTTTTCCCCCAGATTCCAATTAACACATCATGTCGGCAACCTAGAGAGCCCACAAAATTGAAACTGACAATGAACTGTTGGCGGTTTTCGATCAAACCTCTCATACCGAGGACAAAACCCAAAACACCTTCGACAAATATACTCATTGGCACATGAATTCGGTATTCACCGGAGACTCATTCGAAAACCAGGTGAATCTCCCGCTCATGATACTCTTCAGCTGAGATTCAAGTGAGTCTCCAGTGAAAAACAAATTTGTATGCAAATGAGAGCATTTGTTTAAGCTCATGCAATTTGAGTTCAAGTAGAATATGAGGCTAAAAAAGTCGGGGACCGCGTCTACCTGATGAGCCCTAAGATGGGATAAATTAGTTTTGGGCTCACGAAGAGTCTTCATAAACCTTGCGAGTACTCTCCTCTATGCAAAACAGCTTCGTTAGTCAGAAAATCATAAGGTAAAGAGTGATTATGGTGATCACATCTCATTCTCGGGTTCACACTAGAAGCGATGACCATGTGTCTAACGAAAACCAGAGTGAAGATAAGTCTGGCATGACAACAAAAGGGTGTCGAGCTGTGGTGTATACACCTACCAAACAAGCAGTCATTCGAACCTCACTAGTTTTCTGTTACATTGGGCTCTCTCGATACTTTGCCAGGTAATCAGCTGGTTTTTGAAGATCGCGATAGGTGAAACTCTATGTGCCAATTTTCAACAGCTGGTTGCATTGTCAGAAATACATCAGATGTGCTATTTCTCCAGATATGACCTCAGTTAAAAATCCCGTCAAAAACGGCTCCAGAGAAGCTTACTCAACATCTTTCCTCCTGATTCCACAAATTCGTGGACCAATGTATAGAAAATGCTCAATAACTAGAATCCAAGTATTTTTCACTCCGGGAGCAGCGCTTCATGTTTTTCTGTTTCAAATCGAATAGGTTTTGCATTTACATCCACCGCGCAGCGATGTTAAAACCTGTTTACTCCATTTCCTTCCGAAGGGTTTGGGAAAAAGACCGATTTATGGCACCCGAAATAGAAGCGGTCACTTCTCTCCTGCGCAATGGACAAGTCTTAGCGACGGTGGAACCCTACATTGATAGATACGCGAAAACGATTACAGAGGATTGCGAATCGTGTCTTCAAACCTGGAGAGGAGTACGGTGTGATTGCCACAACAGGAGTGGGAGGACTTATTGCGCACGCCACCATCCTGGGACAAACAGTGAACAATCTGAAGGCCCATGCTCAACCGGAACAGATTATCCGACTTGCGACAAAGAACCCAAAAGATGACGTTTCCAAAGAAGAGTGACATACATTACCACGATTAGGCCATGATTTGCCATAGACTAGCCAACCTTATTTGAAATCGTCCTTTATTTTACTGAACCGATTGATGATTCCTCTAGGTCCCTCCACTAAAATTCCCCAAGCGCTACCACTTACCTAGCCCTATCGCTCTGGTGTGTGTGTGTTCAGATCGTGGGCCAGATTGCCATTTCGTCTGTGAGTGATTGGTGGAATTATGATAAACAGAGTATAAGGTTTTTAATAGAAACTCAATTCTAAACATCAACCGGTGAATTTGTAGGCCTGAAACATTCCTTCGAAGAACTGATTGAAAATAGCAGTTGCTCGGAATCTATGGGAACCACATGCCTGACAATAACGAATTTCGAGCACTGGTACTTGAGTCGGTTGTCCTAAAGGCGTTTGGACAGAACGGCCGCATAATCGAAAGTGTTTGGCGGACTCCGCTACTTTCTCTTATGTTTTCAGCATTCGAAGTGTAATGCCGACGATGGCCACAATGTTTGACAGACCAAACATTTCCTTACTTCTACCAGATGGGTATCCTCAGTAAAAGATTTTGTATCCATTTCATTCTGGTGGGGCGGTGCTCACGGAATTACTGCGCTTGAATAGGGGTTCTAGTTCTTCACCAACAAACACCGGACCCACTTGAATCATCACGGATGAACAGGCATATTCACGATCAAGTGACATATGCAGTTAATCCGGAGCCTAGAACGGTCTACCAACCTCCCCAGTTGTGTCAACCAATTGATCCGTCCGTCAGGGCATCAGGACAATCTGAACTCATTACCCTTATTTAAATGTCCATCCAAGCTGGCCGAAACAGATCGGTCACCAGCTGCAATGCTAAGTAGCGCTCGTGTTTCCTTATTTCTAAACAGCCATTCGTGATGGGGAGTAATAGAGGCGAAACTATCGAAAGTTCCTGGTCCTTTTGGTATACTGCAATATTGTTCATCTACTTAATATTATACGGTATCAAGACGAAAGTATTCATCCTGAAGGAGTCCCCATTCAGAGTACCATAAAGCAAGAAATGACGAGAATATGAAGAAAGATATTTGCCGAGAGGCATGTCCGGTCTAATAGTTCGTAAAATATGCACAATCCAAAGATTACCAGGTCAAGGGCTTCGTAAATGAATGGATGCTGAAGTCCAAACAGCCATGTAGAAAACAAGCAATCGATGTACGGTTGAGTAACCGAACAACTTTGGGATAGGTAAGGCAAACTCGAATATACGTGAAGTCCGAGGATATTCATTCTGAATCTACAGGACCTGGTTTCTGGTTCAGGCCTTCACGGGCTTTGAATTCAAGTTTAGCTTCAAGTCGGCGTTTACTTCGCTGGTACCGTTGACGTTCCTTGGCATCGTGAGCCATGCGTTCTTGAGCCGGCAAGCTTTGCTCACCGTTTAAATGTTCATCAAGCTTGGCATTAAGGCGAATTCGGGCAATCAATCGGTTTTGTTCCAGACTGCGCGTGTCCTAATGCACATAGAGGAAGAAACCCGAAATAAGTTACATGCTAAAACAAAATTTTTAGTGATATGGTGCTCTAACGATCTATTCAAACCCTTGCAACAAACATAAGTTTCGGCTACAGACTCAGAAACACTGGTTGTCAAGAGGCTGGAACTGAGAATACCTACGGACTACATTCGGTTGAACTAACGATTAGGTTTACCACCGGAATTCGCGCAGATTTTGCGTGTGCGATGTCTTTGTGAGCATGTACAGCGCTTAAAATCGTCGCTTTACAGTACGACCACCTCTTGAACGCGACCCAGTTAGCTTAATTTTCAAGATCGTGTAGAAGGAGTACTGCACATCCACTCTATACCGACGTAAAAAAAATTCAGTTAAATTCGATCGCATAACAGAGTTGGACATAAAAAAGGGGTAATCTTCAAATCAGATAGTTGCCAGTGGCCGCCGTGCGCAGGATCTCGATTACTGCATGATTTTGTCAAGCATTTCCCTGACCACTTCGCTAGCTTCCGTTGCCGGGAAAACTTCTACTATCGCTTCCATATCAATGTGAAAAGCCACAAAACACAGAATGTCACTATGACTGAGTCTTTTGGTTAAAAATATCGAACATGATTGAATCACATGGAGAATGGCATGCTGCTGTTCTACTTCATGATTGTCAGAAGTTGCTAGCACATGTTACATAGAAGACCTGGGTGTTTCGGCCACGATTAACTAGAGGAGTGACAACAACAAAAGAAAGCGTTCGATTTCAGGAACCGTTCGGTGCACAGCTGCCACGCAGCCGCAAGGAAGCATGGGGCCAATGTACTGCCGAGTCACCAAGAACAGACAAGAGCAATCGAAAAGCCAGAGTTGGTTTGAACCACGGACCTGCCGGTTCGGGTGGGAGTGCTGGATCATACCAATTTTCCATGCAGCTGAACCAGTCAGAAAGTAACTATATTACACCGACGAACGCACATTACCTGAAACACGAAGCAGGTTCGTTCAAAATACGATACTCTTTTATATAACTCCCTAGTACGATCGTATGTCGAGGGATAGGGTGATCTGTTGTGGCGATAAAACTGAGTTTGTCTCAATTACTGCCACCTATAACCTGACAACAACTTGATTATCAAGGATCGGTTGGCACTGGCAAGTCCCCATTCATGTTGATATACATCGGTATAGGCGTCTATCCGGAAATCAGTTTGTGGCCGACTGTGTATCTGTCCCCGTAAGAGAGAGGAGACCGAACAATAGCACGAGGGAACTTGGCAACTGTGACGGAAGACAGCAAGTAAGGCTATTCCCCAAAGTCCCGAGGGTCAATAGGAAAGATAATCGGAATCCTGGAAGCAGTGGACTGGATGACGACTAGGCAACCGGTCGAAGAGACCTCTTGTCGTTGTTGGCCCTCAAGGGGAGGTTTGTACAATTCAAGGCAGTTGAGGATCAAGACGAGTCAATACGAGCCAGCTTCGAAAGTGACACTGTGCCTCCGATGAAGTGCTGAATGAACAGGCTGTCACAGTCGATCTAGGGGGAGCGTGCTGAGCACCGATTTCTCGTATGCGGACTTAATGACAGGGTGTGTAGCGACGCATAATACTGATGAAACCTAGAGAAAACTATCGATTCTAGGCGGTTCAAAGAGTCGTTCCTGCAGCTAATCGACAGTTGAGCTGCAGATCGTTAAACCGTTGAGCGACGTTCGATATCAATTGCCTTATCCCAGATCATTTATAATCGGTCTTAAATACTCCTCAAATTTAACCTTACTCTTACTTAACGTAATCAACCCACTGCTAATTCATCCACTAGGTGTTATTTGACCTTCTCTAAGAAGATACTCTTATTTATCACCACGGTGGTCTCACCTTTTCGGCCTTTGTTAAAAACTCACCACTCTATTGATACAACCACAATTTGAAGAATGTGGATAACATAGTAACAAAAATAGGCGAATATAGGCAAAGCCGCCGTTGTCTGGGCTGTGTACGCGACATAAAATGTAACGACTGCAGAAAGCTTTGTATAAAATAAACAGCAATGGAAGTGCACACCATAATTGGTGAACAAAAGTGGTGCACAAACAAAGCATCAAGAAACGCATACGAATATCATGTGATAGCCACATAGCGTGGCATTTGTTGGGCACTGGATATAGGATACTTTCGATAACTAGGATTCACACTACAGCGAGACGGCCCAAGTGGCTAGAGAGTGAATTTACTGGCCGTAAGGTCAGTGGTTCGAACCCGACCTCTACCCCTCGACTTTGCCTGTCTAGGCTTGGGCAACCTGGCAGTATCCCAGCCCTCGTGATCCCTTCTGGTGACATGGCAGTTGGGCACCGAAAGGGTGCTACGGCTGAACGACACTGCAGCGACTGGTAACCGAGCCAGTGAAAGTCATCAATTATCCCAATTTTAATAGAATAGAGGGCTTATAACTTGGAAACGTGTATGTGGAATGATCAGGGTTTGAAGTGCAAAGCCTAACCTGACTAAAATCCACTTGATTCACCCAACCCTTTACCCCTAACCCCGTCATCTTGGCACTTAGTAGCCCGACGTAGTTCAATAAAATACGCGAGAGATATCCAAGGAAAGTGCTCAGTTAAATGCTCTGCACCGGAAAAGCAAGGCCCTAAAGTCGATTCAAATTGATTACGATTGCCGGGAATCGCCCGTGTAATTACTAGTCATCAATACTAACCTCTAAGAAGCTTTCATTAACTCTGAGTTCAAAAAGACCCATTGACTGATTGATCGTCTGCTTTAAAACAGGACAACCTGGCACCTCATTCAATTGGCCCGACGAAGATTTAATTAACAGCGAAACCTTGTCTACCAACAATAGCACGCTTCTGAAGCGATGACTTCAAGATCGACGCACAGCATTTTCCAACTAATTTCTCTGTCTTCATATCCATCAGAACATCTTCAACAACTTTTGTCACTTCTCCCTGAAGAGGACCTAAGACCAAAGTACCGAGTTTCAAATCTAGTAAAATATAATATATAGAGAACTCTCAGTCCGGTAACAACTGATCGATGCTCACTACACATAATATAGTCCACTCGAATACTCAGTTCATATAAGCTGATACTAACAGCCGGAAGTTCCGGAAGAAATAGAGCTGTCACAATACAGTCTAATCCACCAGGTGTTCCAGCCGCATGTTCGTACAGCGGACGACAACAGTAGCGCTTTCGTTGATGATGACACTGTGGTGGGCAGATGTACACTAAAAGCGGATCATGTGAGGAAAGCTACCATACTAACAACAGCCAACAGTGACAAGAAGGCTGTTAATTTAGCTCTCAATGGTGAACCAGGTGAACCAGCTCGGGAAGAGCTTTTACATTCGGACCGAACACAGACCTGCCGCTTTCCCGTCCAAATGCAAGGTAACGACGGCTGATCAACCGCTTGGTATAGTTTACAAATATGAACAGGGTAATACAAGTCATCCTACGCACATTTCTGATGCGGAACAAGGACGAGACATCCAAAAGGTGGGTTCAGGTTTTTGGGATTGGACTGGCTTGAAATGCATGATGAAATCGCGACAGAAAGATCAAAATTTACCGATGCTAACAGCAAACCATAAAATGTGGATATGCATAATTTACCAGTTGTGAACAAAATGGAACAATTAGCGAGTTCTTAGCTTACTTGACACTTCACGGAGATGCCTGTTGAACGATGTCGCAAAAATACACAGTTTGCTGTCTTATTTATTTTTTGGCCACCTGGGCCCCAGCCACGAACAAAATCTTCTTGGATTTCCTCCTCCTCGAACAAAAACTTGGATGGCTTCTTTGTGGAATGAACTGATCGTGGAAGAACTCCAACGGACAAATTTTTAGAAGCAACTGTAGCAGCATTGTATGGGGCTACGAACCATCGAGCCAGTAAGAAAATTCTGAAGTTGGTGTGTGACATATCATTATACATCCATCACCTATAATAAAAGGTAATCGTTTTGGTATATAGCTTATAACAATAACAAAATCAATGCTAGCTGTTAACATAGGTAAAAAACAGCAGTTCCCCAATCTTGGTTAGGTTGGGTGTCAGAGCACGATTCTGGACGATCAGTTTGAAGCAAACGAAAAGGCAGTACTCTGTTACACACTGCTGGGATGACGACTCAAGTAGAAATGAGGATAAATTAGGGAAATCTTGAGATTGGTCGGG